CTACAAAAGACAGAAAATTGTGGAGAGCCATGGTTACTACCGTGCTGAAGGGGCATGCAATAAAAGAAGATGTCATAAAATGTTCCAGTCACTCCAAGTCCTGATAAGTCACAGAGGAAAAAATCAAACAGGACAAGGACAGGACACAGTGGACAAAAAACCCAGCTGCCTCTTATCTCAAAACTGAACAAAATCACAGTTTCATAATAATCTATATCTATAATACAGAATATGGCAGTGTGTCTGTCTGTGTGATACCTTTTCACTCAAGATCCATGCAACCGATTTTGACCAAACTTGGCATATACATTGTACAATGTAAGAGATAGGTTCCTAGCATAAAAAATAATTTTAAAAAAATCAATAATTGATAAAACGATCAAAAATCAATAAATTCAACTTTTTTCCTCTGATTGTAGGTCACTTACATCATGACAAGCTCAACAATAACTCATTTTTATTTCTATGCTACTGTGTTTAGTGAAAAAACGAGAAAAAACAAAAAATTGATTTCAACACAAATTTTAAAGTAAAAACTCCCTCAATTTTCAAGTAATCTAATACAAACTTTGCTCAAATGTAGCCAACAATAAGTTGATTGTTTAACAGACTTAATTTGATAATTGAGTCCACCCATATAATGAAAACCTGCATTAGTAGCGAAAAATGGTGATTTTTACTGGTTTATTTCTTATTTTTTGTTGATCTTTCAACCAATTTTCATCAAACTTAATAATTGCTTTATAAATGTATCCTCTTTTACATCCCTGGTAGCACACTGACAAATTGAATTTCAAAAACTCCAAAATAATTGTGGTTTGAAGTGGGTCTTCATGTTGCCTGTTTTAACCCTTTCATGTCCTCGGCTAATTTCGATTGAATAAATACAGACTACTTCTGTTATACCAGTAACGGCATTAATTCAAAATGTTTTTTAATGAAAGTATTTTAAAGTAATTGAAGAAGATAGACACTGTTACATCTAAACATGATGTTGTTTTTGCTCCATTCCAATTGAACGCTTTTTCTGATTGACCAGCTGGGTATGGAAGCTAGTTTTATATAAATTGAAAATTCAAGGAATTTTTATTCAAATTTTAATGTCAAATTGAGACTTTTTCATAAAGTCAGGTTTTGTGGGATACTAGGATTCCATAACTATGAAATATATCAAATATGTGAGTGTAGTATTGTCAGAAAACGTTATTTAGAAGTTGGATCAATTTATTTATCAATTTGTTGCACACAAAATTTGAACGCACAAAATCGTACCTGACAGAAGTAGTTGATTTTATTATCGGCCACTATATAAATTAATTGTGACTTTTTTCTTGTGATTCTTGTTCTAGTTAAAATTGTGACATTTTTCCTGTAACTTTATTACCAACCAGAATATATTCACATCACTGAGCACAGTGTTATATTAAGCGTATCATGGTTTAAGAAATATATAATTGTATTAACAAAAAATACAACGAATGGTGAAGTGGTATGAAAGTCTTTCATTGAAAGAAAGAGATAAGTAAAGCCGTCTGCAGTGACTTACAGTAGTAGAAGGAGGGTGAGTTGTGACTTACTGCACCAACAGGCTTTGGCAAGTTGTCCTTGGAGATGGGAGGCCAATTGTCTTTGGAGATGGTGTTCCAAGGAGTGTGTGCTGACTGACTGCTGAAGATGTCTCTTTGATGGGCTTTTAAGTCCTTTCGTAAGCTCAGATCGGCTCCAATTCCTATTTCGCTTCTTTAGGCCGGAGTGGGTGCTATTGGGTAAAAAATTGGATTGTGTGTGTTTTTTTTTTTTTTGGTGGGAGGTGGGGGGTGAGGAAAGTGGAAGGTGTATGCCGAGCCGATGCATGTTTGATGGAATTTTTAGTTTGGTCTTGTGTTTTGGAGCATTCATATACGGCCAGTGGTGGAAATTTGTGTAACATGAATCAGAAGATCTGGTTTAGGAAGATTATAATAACAGGTTCACAAATCACAACAATTCAGCCTAGACTCAATTTCTGTCTAAAAATCATACCTTTCCTATTTCACATGTTGTCTCTGTTGTTAAGTGAAAGAAAAGAAAAAATATATTGTTATCCCATAATTAATTGTCCCCCGCAAATTATGGGATAACGATATATTTCTTTTATATATCAAGAACAAGAGTAAAAAGTATGACAAAATGAAAAAAGTTTTTGTGTGACACATTTTGTCCTTTAGGAATTCATCTTTAAATTTAAAATTGCCAGCGTCTCTCATTTGTGCACATGTGTGGTTGCATCAACGTAAACACTGTTGCACAAACGAAGAATGAGTAACCTGGATGGCAGAACCTGTCACTGTTGTTGTTTCTGCGGAAGAGATTAATTTCTTTTTCGCCTCAGCAAACGTAAATTCAAGGAAAAAGGAATATGTCGTACTTTGGGTAAATAAATATGTAATTTATTTACATATACAAAGCCAGCATACTACTCGTTGCTGTTGTAAAAGGCGACAGAGTGGGGAAGGAAGAAAGAAAAAGAAAGAATGTTGGTCATAGCTGCTGGCTGAGGTTTTGTGAAGACGGCGGCAAAGGATGACAGTTGAAAAGTATCAGGTTCAGTCTCAGTCTACCTGCAGCGTTCTTGACCAACCACTGTGTGTCGACATCTCAGCCGAGTCTGTCACCCTATCTGTGTCCTCTGTGGCATTGAGTCAAGGATCTGTCGTATCGTCTCCAAGTCACAGTCTGTGTCTTTTAGCGGGAGTTATTTCTATTGATCAATATACAAAGTTCATTTTATAATTTAATACCAAGAACATGCATCGAGCCATGATATGCAGATTTAGCTGTCCGCTACCACTTTTTCACAAATGTCGATTTTCGTGCAAAGAGCGGATCACATCTTCATGAATGTTTCTGAAAACCTAAACTTCTCATTGGATAATAAATATTAAATTTATCTTTACGTGTATTGTTCTCAATAAGCGAGACAAAACATATCAGGCTCTCTAGACTGAGTTTTGTAAGGCGCTTTCTGAGTGGTTAACAGGTGTTAAAAAAACAATTTACCTGCTCACCACTACGTCCGAACAACGTCAACCTAGTTTTTGACCTGACGAAAAAACAATGCCTTCGGAGCCTGTCACGTGGTTGAAGGAACATATAAGTTGAAGGTACGAGCGGACCCTGTCAGTGAGAATTTACGACGACCAAATTCGCTAATCGACTTCACGACGCTTGAATCATTACTGCAGCGAAGTACCAAGTTGGAACCTAACGTTCTTTAACATAAAATAACTTCACTGAAAGAAAATCAAGCTACAATTTCAACCAAACATCTCACTCATCAACTTGTAAAATTTTACATTCTTATTCAATTACGTTCAGACGAACTTTAATTACAAACAATTACGAACAATACATTTAAAACTACGAGCAACGGAAACAAACGGAACATTCACTTCTCCAACTTCTTTAAAGCTAAAAGTTTATTAACATATTTTCAGCTTTATAAGATTTTCTTTCAGTGAACATTTTGAACTACAAGTTAATTCAGTTTTTGTGAGCTCGGACAAAAAAATGGTCTTTTATTAGTAAAGACATTAGCCCAGTCAAAGGGAAGTAACTCTTATTATTGTTATTGTAAAACTGTTGTTTTAATTTATAAATATAAATATTGTTCCTGATTAAGAAAAGTTATTTTCTTGTATTTCTTCTCTTGTTTGCTTTTTATTTTCTTGCACATTCGTAAAGTAAAAAAATGTGTGGGTTGATTTATTCCGTCAATACCACTACACAGAGACATGTTTTCACATTCTGCCTTAGTTCATCAAGCAGGCAACATCTTGTTTAGTATAAGTGACACAACAACATAAACTGAGTCTGACGAAGTCCTAAAGGACGAAATGCGTCACTTGAAAACTTTTTCCACTTTGTCATAACTTCTTTCCATTCTAAAATAACTAGTTATAAATGTGGTAATTAAAGAGCCATGATTGATTGAATTATTTGTACAAGTAAACCGTAACATTTTTTTAAAATTGTAGTTCAATGAAACAACGCAAAATTAAATTCTCTGCAATATCCACAAATACAAATCTCGAACCAATTTGGTAAAAAAAGGAAATCAGGTTTGTTTTTTTGTTTTAGTTATTTTTGTAGGCGAGAAAAGTGGACTTATTCTAATAAGAGACAAGTGTTTGTTCTGCACCGTTTTAATAACTCTTCTTGGACATTATTTTGCTCTATTATTTGTCAACACGTTTAATTCACTGAACTTGAAATTTGTTTTATGCTTCTTAAAGTACAGATTCAGTTTCTCAACAATGGACACTCATGAACGAAAGATCTTTTTCAATTATAAGATTTGTTTTAAGAAAATTAATTACATCGTCTGTATTGTTTATGAATGAATTCTGGTTTCTTTTAAAATTTTTAGTTTGACGACGAGAGTAAAAAAAAAAAGTTTGAAAGCTTAAAAAATTAAATTTTATAGAAAGTTTATCAAATTGTTTTTAACTTTTGTAATTTATGTGAGGAAAACAAAACTTGGGCTTTTTTACTTTTTAAAAAACTATTAAATCTCGTTTTAATTTGAAACTTAAAAAAATTAAAAAAATATTGATAAATTTGACTTGTCGACTGACAGTGTTGCACTTGATTTTAAATAAATCTATCTTAAAACTTCACTTTTAAAAGTTTTAAGACATTTTTTTTTAATGTTTAAAAAAATGTTGAATTGGAAATTTGCCTGAAAGTTTAACAGAAAAGGAAAAAAAATTGTGAATCCGTCGTACGATTTTTTTTTTATCTTCGGCCGAACAAAATGAAAGGGGAGGATGAATGGATGGAGAGGGAGGATGGATGGAGAGGGAAGGACTTTAGAAGAGAGGGGGGGGAAAAGAAGGAAGGAAACGACTACTCTCTTTTTCGATGTGAAAGTAGTATAAATAATATTCCTTCTTCTTCTTTTTCATTTAATTCTTTTTTTATTTCCTGATCCACTGCGACTTTTTTCTTTCGTTTGTACAATGACAACTCCAATACCTTTGGCAGTTTTATTGATTTGCCTAAAAATCGATTCTTCTTCTTCTTCTTCAACAGGTGAGTGTGACAGAAAGTTGTTTTTAATTTTAAACAACATCTCGATCGATTGCTATATTTGTAAAACTCGTCCAGTACAAAGCGAAAAACAAAATAAGATTAATAACAATTAGCATGTGACTTCGATTCACACTGGCTGCTCTATATTCGTAAGTTTTAAACTACGGGCACCTGGAAAGAAAACAAAATCTTATTAAAGTAAACTAAGTATTAAATTATGTCAAAATAAAAACAGAAAAAAAGGGACTCGACTACGGTTTTTACTGGGCACAACTTAAGGGAATGAAGTAACTTTTATTTTTATTTTCTTTTTAGGAAAGACTTGAATAAAATTTCTTATGGTCGGATTAGTTTTTATTTTTTAATTTTATTTGAGTCTGATAATTTAGTTATTGTTGTTTAGTCGCGCCAAACAAAATGTAAAAAAGAAAATAAAAGTAAACAATGTCATTATTTTAATTTTAAGTGGATATTTTTAATTTTACCATCAAGTCAATAATTTTTTTAGCTTCGAAAGTTGGTAGTTTGTTTTTTGAAGTTGCACGAATTGCTGTAAAAAAAAAAAATGAAATAAATAAATGACGATAGGTATTTAATTTATTGAAGAAAAAAGTTATTAGATTTTTATTTTTTTTGTATTTTCTTCTAAATTCTAAAGTGTCCAGGGGCCCTACAGCAACCGTGATAATTTGATTGGTATGCTAAAAACTATGAAATCGACAAAATATGAAAATTTCTAGGAAAAGTCAGAAAAAAAATATTCTGGACAAACTTTGAAGGAATAAACAAGAATTTTCCTTTACTTGTCTCACTAAAAATTGTGCCTAGAAATGGAAAAAAAAAATGATTTAATTCACTCTTTTTCTTTCTTGTTTTCTTTAAAGTTTTTTTTTTTTTTTTTGTTTGATGTGAAATTTTTAAACAGGTCGTGATTTTAGGATTAGCTTATTAGTGACTTTAAAAAACATTTATCGAAAACTACGAATAAATAATTTATTAAAAGAACATCAAAAATATTTTATTTTTTCTTTACATACTGACTTCTAAGTTTTTTTTAACATGAAATTTAAGAGAATAATATTCTATGTAAATTTTCTTTGTAATTTTTCAGTATGATTTTAAAATTCTTTCAGTTGCTGATGACAAAAGAAATATTCTTAAAGATATTTAAAGAATCGAAAAAATGTAAAGTTTAATGCCATTTTCGCATCAGTAATATTTTTAAAAGAATTTTATTTTTTCTTTTGGCAACTGATAAATTATTTTTTGTAAGGAAGATCAAATAATTCAGCAATTTTGAATTACCTCCCTATTGATTATATGGTTAAAAAAATAATGAAGTCTGAAGCCAGTTGAGTTATAACAAAACATTAATAAAAATGTGCAAAAAACAGGTTCTGATTTTATGTTTGAAAAAAACTTGTCAAAACGAAGCCAATCAGTTTAACTTTATGAAAAACATGAATTTTTTTTTTCTATTAGCAAAAACTAGCAAAGACGATGCTCAAATTTGATGCTGTCAAAACCTGTCAAGTTGCAATCAAGCCCAGTTTGATTGGAGTTTATAACCAAAGAGGATCAAAAATATAAACCCACAAAGGAGTTGATTTTGATCCAGTTGGAGCCACTTTTATTTTTGTTACTTATCAACAATTTTCCTCATTTTTTTTTCTTTCATAGCTGTACTTTCTTATGTTTAATAAATTTTCTTAAAATAATTAAGACCTGATTTACATTTTAAATATTTCATGACATCAAATAATTAAAAAAAATGTTAAATAGTTGAAAAAAAGAACAATAAATGCAATAGAGAAAAGATATTTTTAATATTGTTATATTCCTGTTAATATAAAAAAAATATTCTAAATAAAGAAGTAATTTTATTTATAGAATTAAACATAAGCAAAACAAGTTTCTGTATTTTGGCAGATTTAGCTTTTGTAGTTAATCAAATTTGAGGGCATCTTCTAAATTTCTGAGATAGGGTATTGTAACTATATTTACATTGTTCGGACTGTTGTCCTCATCTTTATTGCCATATTCACCTTCAACATCTATTTCTGAAATGAGGCATTGTAACTATTTTCACTATTTACATTGTTTGAAGTGTTGTCCGCATCTTTATTGTCATATTCATGATGTTTCAGGCATTGTATGCTCCAGCCTTCTTCAGGTGATGTATGCTGGAATTTTGAACCAAACCCTTTATTTAGTCCACAGTGTAGATTTCTCTATTGATAGCACATTCATTAATGCTTTCAACCTGGCCTTTTCCAGTTTCATCCTCATTTACATTTCGGAGAACATAAGGTGTGCTATCGCAGCTTCAGCTTTAATGCATGCCATAGTCGTGGTGACACCTGTTGACCTGTGTGAAGCCTTCGAGTAGCATGAACCCTGTACCTGCTTCAGTTTGTTTTTTTGGCCATAGTGATAGGAGCAGGACACTACGGTATTGTCATATGCCTCCTTGGTGTTTTGACATTGTAGTAGTATCCTTAAATAGCATGAATTGCTATCATAGCTCGCTAGAAAGCATCATTTTACTTATTACAATTCGCATCAGTTCTCACAGCTGACCACACTCTTCATCAATGGACAAGCTGAGTGATCCTGTCATACTAAACCACTGGAAAGTTGCTGTTTTCCTGTTCTGCCGCCTGAGTATAAATTTATCTTATATGTGTGCGTACCTCAAGACAGCCACATATGAGAGTGGCTCGTTATGCCTACTTGGGCTAACATTCTTGGATGACATAAAATGGAAAGTCTATATTGAATCCATTGCTAGATCAATTGATAAGAAAGTTGCTTCACTGTGTCATGCTAAACATTTTTTCTCTCCAGAATCTATCCTACATGTCTATAAGTCTAGCATTCATCCATGCTTAGAATATTGCTGCCACATATGGTCTGGTGTTCTTGCTATATGTATTTAGAGATTCTTGATAAAATCTAAAGAAGAATCAGCAATATTGTTGATCCTGACTTAGCGTCTCAGCTACAGTCACTTTCACACTGCCATAAAGTGGCCTCCCTGTGCCTTTTCTATAAATACTTTCATGCTAATTTTTCAGATGAGCTCTTCACTATGGTATATAGACTTTATGAATTTAAGTGCAGTACTAGACTAGCATTGAGATCTCATCAATTTACAGTTGAATTGGCTAGATGTAGTCCTGAGTTCTATGCTAACAGTTTCTTTTCTCACACTCTCTTCTGGCTCCATGCTTTCCAGTCAACTTTAATCTTCAAAAATTTAAATGCAATGTCAATTTTTATCTACTCTCCTTTTGTTCTCACTCCTTAGTAATGTTTCTGTTTTTAACACTTCTACACTCAGTAACACCTTGTGTCTTAGTGGCTTTGCTACCTTGCTTGAGGTAACTCCAATTAAAAAAAAAATCCCCCCCAAATTCCTTTCAGTCTTTAATAAACCTGCTGATGAATAGGACTTTGTCTTCAGAGTCTTAATTGCCTTAAGGTAGGCTGTCTTGATGTTCACATGTTCAGGAGGCAAAGCAAAACTCATTGAAGGATAATGAATCTGTTCAGAATTATTAAATGTATCTTAAGAACTTGTACTTTTTATGAAAATCACTTGAAACTTTTTTCCCTTGTAAAGATATCTCTTGACCAAGATATTTTAACAGTGACTAGTGTGAAATTTACAAATAAGTGAATCTACACTTCAGTTGAGATGGAAGTTAATTTGATAATTTAATTTCAAAAGCCTAGATGACCAAGTTAGGTCATTTGGATTTTACTAGTATAGAAGAAATCCATTGTGATTTGTTTTTCTATTTTTCATGAGATTTTTGCTATTTTGAATCAAAATCTGGACAAACTGAGATTTGAGCAAAAATGAAAAATGTTGGCAAGAATGAAACGAGGAATTTAAATGTTTATTCAAAGCTAAAAATCCAGAAGCAAAAAGTCTGCCAAATAAAAATGGGAACAAAGTCAGAAAGTACCTGGCGTGATATTTGTTTACAGACCAAAACTAATTAGAGGAGTCAGATGTTTATCATAAAAAAATACTGACCTTAGCAATGAGACAAGGTGGTTTCAGGATAATTTTGTTATTGAAAACATTTTAGTATAACTAAGACCTAGAGACTCTATAAATGCCCAAGCAGTAAGGGTAGAGTAGCTCTCAGTATACAAGATAAATGGCTAATGCTAATAAAATACAAAGGAAATTCCAATTCATAACAAAAACTTAAGTTGTTTTATTTATTTTCATTTTTTTTAATGAAAATACTCCACAGAAAATGTCCTGATGCCCTTTCTGACCTTAGGTCTCTAGTCGCGACCCAGAAGGAAATGAGTATACAACAGAAATCAAAGGAAATATAATAATAATAATTGTAGTAGCGTTGGTAGTAGTAATAATAACAGTGGTGATAATAATAATAACAGTGGTAGTTATAATAATAATAAAAACAATAATAATAATAATAATAATAACGGTGGTGGTGATAATAATAATAACAGTGGTAGTGATATTAATAATAATAATAACAGTGGTGGGGATAATAATAATAATGGTGGTGGTGATATTAATAATAATAATAATAATAACAGTGGTAGTGATATTAATAATAATAATAATAACGGTGGTGGTGATAATAATAATAATAATAACGGTGGTGGTGATAATAATAATAACAGTGGTACTGATATTAATAATAATAATAATAGTGGTGGGGATAATAATAATAACGGTGGTGGTGATATTAGTAATAATAATAACAGTGGTAGTGATAATAATAATAATAATAACGGTGGTGGTGATAATAATAATAACAGTGGTACTGATATTAATAATAATAATAATAGTGGTGGGGATAATAATAATAACGGTGGTGGTGATATTAGTAATAATAATAACAGTGGTAGTGATATTAATAATAATAACGGTGGTGGTGATAATAATAATAATAATAACGGTGGTGGTGATAATAATAATAATAATAACAATGGTGGTGACTGATATACTATAATAATAATAATAATAGTGGTGGGGATAATAATAATAACGGTGGTGGTGATATTAGTAATAATAATAACAGTGGTAGTGATATTAATAATAATAATAACGGTGGTGGTGATAATAATAATAATAACAGTGGTGGGGATAATAATAATAATGGTGGTGGTGATATTAATAATAATAATAACAGTGGTAGTGATATTAATAATAATAATAACGGTGGTGGTGATATTAATAATAATAACGGTGGTGGTGATAATAATAATAACAGTGGTGGTGATATTAATAATAATAATAACAGTGGTGGTGATAATAATAATAATAATAACGGTGGTGGTGATAATAATAATAATAACGGTGGTGGTGGTGATAATAATAATAATAACAGTGGTGGTGATAATAATAATAATAATAATAATAACAGTGGTAGTGATATTAATAATAATAATAACAGTGGTAGTGATATTAATAATAATAATAACGGTGGTGGTGATATTAATAATAATAATAATAATAACAACGGTGGTGTTGATAATAATAATAATGAATGCCTCTGTTAAAATGTCATTGTTTTTCAGATTGTCAATTTCATGCTTCTATTTATATTTTGTAACAGTAAAACTGCAAATTTTTCATTGTTGAATGGGAAATACTTTGAAAAGAAGCCTTAATTCTTCTGCCGAAAATGGTTGCAACATTTCTTTTTGTTTTGCTAAAGTGTTGAAATGCCATTGATGTGTTATTGTGAGTCACATGAAATTTGTTTTGTTATGAAGGTCCAGAGTTATGCAGCATAATTAAAATGAAAGAATTGCTTGCATCAAATTTGTTGCACAGGGTGCAACAAATATATCAACTGCCCCCCCCCCATCAACAAACAACCTTAAGAGTTATTTTGTCATTTTTATCTCAATTCTTAACTAATAAAGTAAGAGTTCTATCTTGCAAGGAGATATCAAAAACCCTAAAAAGGTTTTTAACAAATCAATTCAAAACAAAAGCAAGACTGGCTGAAATTCTATAAAACATTTATTCTATAGGAATAAAATAATAAAAAGTTTAATTACAGAAAGTTACACATTTCATTGACCAGAGAGTTCATATATCTACATTTTGAACAAAAAGAAAACTATTACATTACTGGCAATCTTGAAGTTTCATGCCTTCAAAAGAAATAGTGTTTCAAAAAGATGGTTTTTTCCCTTGACACCACTATTATTTTAACTACCTTCACTCCTTGGCAATGCTTGTTTTAAAAAGCAATAATTAGAATTGCACTAAAACCTAAACATATGAAAGTGAATTCCTACATTGTCATTGTTCTAGAGAAGTGATAACAAAAATAATAAACCCTATTAGATTGTTTATTTACAAGAATAATTTTTATATTTATGGCATTATAAAAATTAATTCAATTAAAATTAATGCAATGCAATATTTATCATTTACAAATTTATAAAGAAATGAATATGAAAACAATTTTTTATTTATAAATTTCTAAACATTTCCTAAATTATTAAAATATGTGAAGCAACTATAAAGAAATCCTTATTATTTACCATTTTATAAAGTTTGAACCAATTGACAATTAATCAATGTTTTGCTAACCATTCCAGTAAACGATCTGATAAATGAATAGTGTTTAATATTTTTGTTGTCAATTCTTAAGAACAAAGAAAATGTATAAATTCACTTTTATGTTTAGGTTTTATTAAAATTCTAATTAACATTTTTTAAAACAATAAACATTGCCAGGGAGGGAAGGTAGTTAAAATAATATTGGTGTCAAGGGAAAATCTGCCCTTTTTGACACACTGTCCTTTTTTCTTTTTTTTTTTTTACAGGCACAAAGGCTAAAGATTGCCATATCAAAATCCTCAAGAAATTTACCTTCCTGACATATCAAGTATGGTGAGATTCTATTATAGAGGAATAAAGTGTTGCTGCAAACACTGGAGTTTGAACACAGATCATCAGGGAGCAAACACAGGCGATCCCATTTTGAATAAGTAGATCACCTGATGATAAAGGAAATGTATATATGGGAATTAGTGTGGTATCTAAGTGATCACTATATGGATCACTATTCGGTGGTTATTTTTCAAGCGAGTATTATTGAGCAAGTACTATTAGTGCAAGTGATATTCGAAGGCATCTGATACCAGTATTGTTCAACAGCGTTACTATAGTTGTATCTGCAATTACAAAGTCTCTGCTACAACGAGCATTACAAAAGTGACAATGAGTATTCGTTGATATTACAAAAGTTGCAACGAGTGTTCATTGACATCACAAAAGATTGAAATCCAAATCAAAAGGTCGTAAACTGATTATTCTAACCACTTGGCCATGTTCCCATATAGAGCATTATATAAGATTCCAAAAGTATGTAACAGCTCATTGAACCTGGGAGTAAGGGTCGAAGCTGATCATGAACAGCTGATCATGAAAGTGGAGATGCACGTCATCTGTGATCACATAGTGAACTGGAATTATGGTTCAAGTAACCAAATGTTACTTTCTATGACCTGTGAAAAACAAAACATCTTACAAATATGTTCAACAATCAGCCAACTAGGATTAAGCTGATATATGCAACCAAGGAAAACAGAAAATGGAACAATTTTCATTTGTTTCTTGGAAAAATTGAAAGTATTATTACATTTTGATTTATTTATTTTTTCCCTAATTGAAAATTTTTTTTGTTTGTTTGTTTTCAGCTGAGAAAAAGAATATTCTGTTCATTGTCATTGATGACCTGAGACCAACTCTTGGTTGTTATGGCAACAATTTAATGAGTACACCAAACATCGATCAGCTTGCTTCAAAATCAATACGTTTTAATAATGCATATGTTCAGGTCAGTGAAATTTGTCAGTATTTTCATTTTTCTATATGGCCCGCTCAGTGCAGTATTTATAGGTTGCCTGCCCAGTGCTGCATTTATAGGTTGCCTGCCTAATGCTATGCCCAGTGCTGCATTTATAGATTGCCTGCCCAGAGCTGTATTTATAGGTTGCCTGCCCAGTGCTGCATTTATAGGTTGCCTGCCTAATGCTATGCCCAGTGCTGCATTTATAGATTGCCTGCCCAGAGCTGTATTTATAGGTTGCCTGCCCAGTGCTGCATTTATAGGGTGCCTTTCCAGTGCTCTGCCCAGTGCTGCATTTATAGGTTGCCTTCTAGTACTATGCCCAGTGCTGCATTTATAGGTTGCCCGCCAGTGCAGTATTTATAGGTTGCCTGCCCAGTGCTGCATTTATAGGGTGCCTTTCCAGTGCTCTGCCCAGTGCTGTATTTATAGGTTGCCTGCCCAGAGCTGTATTTATAGGTTGCCTGCCCAGTGCTGCATTTATAGGGTGCCTTTCCAGTGCTCTGCCCAGTGCTGCATTTATAGGTTGCCTTCCTAGTACTATGCCCAGTGCTGCATTTATAGGTTGCCTGCCCAGTGCAGTATTTATAGGTTGCCTGCCCAGTGCTACATTTATATGGTGCCTTCCCAGTGCTCTGCCCAGTGCTGTATTTATAGGTTGCCTGCCCAGTGCTACATTTTTGGGTGCCTTCCCAGTGCTCTGCCTAGTGCTGTATTTATAGGTTGCCTGCCTAGTGCTATGCCCATTGCTGCATTTATAGGTTGCCTGCCCAGTGCAGCATTTATAGGGTGCCTTTCCAGTGCTCTGCGTAGTGCTGCATTTATAGGTTGCCTTCCTAGTACTATGCCCAGTGCAGTATTTATAGGTTGCCTGCCCAGTGCTACATTTATATGGTGCCTTCCCAGTGCTCTGCCGAGTGCTGTATTTATAGGTTGCCTGCCCATTTCTGCATTTATAGTGTGCCTTCCTGTGATCTGCCTAGTGCTGCATTTATAGGTGCCCTTTCAGTGCTCTCCGCGTAGTGCTGCATTTATAGGTTGCCTTCCTAGTACTATGCCCAGTGCAGTATTTATAGGTTGCCTGCCCAGTGCTACATTTATATGGTGCCTTCCCAGTGCTCTGCCGAGTGCTGTATTTATAGGTTGCCTGCCCATTGCTGCATTTATAGTGTGCCTTCCCAGTGATCTGCCTAGTGCTGCATTTATAGGGTGCCTTTCCAGTGCTCTGCGTAGTGCTGCATTTATAGGTTGCCTTCCTAGTACTATGCCCAGTGCTGCATTTATAGGTTGCCTGCTCAGTGCTGCATTTATAGGTTGCCTGCTCAGTGCTGCATTTATAGGTTGCCTGCTCAGTGCTGCATTTATAGGTTGCCTGCCCAGTGCTACATTTATAAGTTGCCTGCTCAGTGCTGCATTTATAGGTTGCCTGCCCGGTGCTGCATTTATAGGGTGCCTTCCCAGTGCTCTGCCTAGTGCTGCATTTATAGATTGCCTGCCTAGTGCTATGCCCAGTGCTGCATTTATAGGTTGCCTGCCCAGTGCTACATTTATATGGTGCCTTCCCAGTGCTCTGCCGAGTGCTGTATTTATAGGTTGCCTGCCCAGTGCTGTACTGCATTTATACGGTGCCTACAATCTGCTCCTTTCCTCAATTACCTCATCAGTGCTGCTTCATTCCTCAGCTGTCTGCTCAGTTTTTCCTTCATGCCTCGTTTGTGATTGAATCTATTGCTTCACTCTTCCGTGTATTGGTGATAGTGTTAGGGTAGATTATATTAGGTTTGAATGTTTGAGTGGCAGCCAGATAGGACAACACATATGAATTCAAAATTCTAAAAGAAACAGAAAATCTTTCCAAAGTAATTCATACTAATTCAGAGATAATAAAGAAAAGGAAATTGTGGAGAGTCCTGATTGCCTACATCCTGAAGTTACATAGCATTAAAGAAAAGAAAATGATTTACAGAGCTAACTGTTTTTGTTTCTGGCCTGAAATGGCCTGGATTTAACATTTTTTTATCACACTGTCTAAATGTAATTTTCATTCTTTTTTTTTTTCTTTTATCCTGTAACTTACTGATATGTCATTTGGACATTTTTATGTTCTGAAGAAAAGGACAAAATAACCAGACAGTCCATCCTTCTTTAAGCTGTTTTTTAATGGATTGCCTGCTCTTCCAAAAGATAAGAGCTCTGCTTGCTTTATTATTTACTTATTGCTATAAGATGGATTATGTGCCTTTTCCAAGTCTATTAGTGCAACATGACCTCAACTACCTTGGCCAGTATTTGAACTTGGCCTATTGATTACATTTTCTCTACTAATAAAAACACAACACAACCTCTAAGTTAAAAATCTATTTTTGTCATTTTATTTATTATCACCAAATATTATAATTCTGCATGTTCTTTCGTTAGAATGTATGTTATGCTCTGCCTTTACACCATAAATAATGGAGTAATTCTAATTTGATTGCAATGAAAGACAGAAAAGACATATAAGAGATGCTTTTTGGTTTCAGTGTAAAAGAAGTAATAGCACTTTAACTTCTGATTCAGTGAAATGGAAATCCTTGTCAATTTAAAATTGTTTCATTTGTACCCCCTTACTTCTTTAAATAACGACCAGTATTCATATTTATGATTGTTATTACAATATTTTGTACAATATTTTGTTAGTTATTAAACTGAAATATTTAACAATGCAATGTGGGGGAGAATTTCTATAGGAATTTTATTGTAGAACTTGCAAGGAGCGTATTCGATTATCAACTTAAGAATTATGATTCATCAAAAAATTAAAATAGCAAAAACATCAAGAAGTCACCTTCCTGATAAATCAATCATTATGAGATTCAAACCTGTCTCTGATGATTAGAAAATAAACATTCTAACCACTCGCCCATCACTCTTATATAAACTACCAAAATTAAGTCACTAAAAAAAAAAATCTCTTAGAAAATATATTTCTCATTTCTTGTTAAGATTTCTGGCTTTTATTTTCTTTTTCAACAAATTAGAAAAAGTGAAAAGCCCACTAAAAAATGACATGAATTCCTGACCATTGACAATACATTAATCCCTCATTTTTGCTCCATTACTATAGCAAAATAAGAATGAATAATGCCTCAATTCTATCATGAATATCAAAAAAAAATCCTCTTTTGTCACTTTTTTGATATTAATGTTTTGTACAAGATAGAAAGGATTAAATGAATAATTTTTTATGTTTAAAATTACACAAGATAGATCTGTTCATTTGCTGAGTTTAGTGCTTCCATTCTATTTATTTAGTATTTGCAGTGTCATTATGTAATTATTAGAGGGAATGAAAGTTTTGATGTATTTGTTTAATAAATCCTATCCATTATATATGAAATCATTAGAGGGAATGAAAGTTTTGAGGTAAAGGGTGTTTCATTAAGACGGATCAAAGTTTGCAGTAAATAAATCAGTGTTATTGGTGAAAATTTAATTATTTCTCTATTGGATCATGTTATTTAAGTCATGGCAATTATGTGTGAAAAATAATATTGCCCAAATGTCTGCCAAAGTTTTGACAACACATCTCCACTCGATGGTCAAAATTTTTGATGACGTGTCTGCATAGTTGCCCCTCAATCTTAGCAATATGCCTTATTATCACATCCTTCAGCTGTTGAATTATTGTTCGCATAGACCTTGCTTTTGAGATCATGGTGGCCAACTGACTTTGCTGTTTTGAGAGATGATGTGACTTTGGAACTTCTCATTCAAATTCAGTTTGAATGTTCATTTTCGTAATAGGCTTTGATAACTTTAACACATTGTTTGATTGTTAATCTTTCCATGGTTGAAATTGCCAAAGACTTAAGTTGTTAAATGTAAAAGAAAAAAAAAATCATTAAACACTTAAACTTAATTCACATTTAAAATCGGTCCAAGTTATTGGAACATGCTTTATTTGTTTAATAAATCCTATCCGTTATATATGTAATCATTAGTGGGAATAAAAGTGTTGATGTATTTGTTTAATAAATCCTATCCATTATATATGTAATCATCAGTGGGAATGAAAGTTTTCACGTATTTGTTTTATAAATCCTATCCTTTATATATGTAATCATTAGAGGGAATAAAAGTGTTGATGTATTTGTTTTATAAATCCTATCTGTTATATATGTAATCATTAGAGGGAATGAAAGTGTTGACATATTTGTTTAATAAATCCTATCCATTATATATGTAATCATTAGTGGGAATGAAAGTTTTCACGTATTTGTTTAATAAATCCTATCCATTATATATGTAATCATTAAAGGTAATGAAATTTTGATGGATTTGTTTAATAAATTCTAATCATTATATATGCAATGTATTTATTTTTTTGCTAATGCTCATCGTATCCAAGTTCAAAGGACCACTTAAGGTAGAGGATTACTGAAGGTTGTTGCTATATGTATGGTAAGATTAAGGGCTGCAGTTTATGTAGATATATGGGAAATATAATGGTTTACCCTAGATTTAAAGAGGTTAAGATTGTAATTGTTGGGAAAACATCCTACTGGGATTCTGTTCCAAAAAGCAACTGTTCTTGGAGAGAAGGTATCTGAATGGAACTTGCTTCTTACTAAAAGAATGTGAAAGGGAATGAAGATAGTTTGCCTCAATGTATATATGGCATGGCAATTCTTAACTTGGAAGGTTGGAGTTAGGCGAATGTAGCTTGTCTGAAAATTTTCCATTTTAAATAGGAATCAAGTAGCAAGAAGTTTGCAATATTTTGTCTATGGGAAAGAGTTTATAAGGTGGAAAACAATTCATCATCACCCACAAGTCCGCATAGGTACTTTTGAACAGGGGAAATGAAGCTTGGGTAGCTCCAGCCCATATATGGCAGCAGTACTCCCCTTTTTGGCTTGATCTGACTCTTGTAAAGGTAGAAAATAGCAGGAGCAGTTATGTACTTATTGTGGAGTGGTACAAGGAATCTAACCCTTTTTCCATCATCTTTAGGGATGGATCGTCTATATGTGTTCCACTTGAGGTCTGGGTTGTTCAAGGGAAGAGGTCTTCTTGAGAGAAAACCTGGAGGGAATGAAAGTTTAGATGTATATATTTTTTTTTTTTTTTTTTTTTGTATAAGTTGTTGCCATTATACAGGGTGAGGCAAAAGTTGTGGTCCGTAGGGATAATTTAATAAAAGTATAATTACACATGAAAACTCTATTTACTAGCTATTTAATTGTGCTGTTCAAAATGTCCTCCTTTTTTCTTTTTTTTTTTAAGAACACATTTCAATTATGTTGGAGAGTTTCCTGTCATTTTATGGCATTCATATTTAATTCTTTCTTTAAGCTCTGCAATATTTCTTGGGTACAGCTGATAAACAACTGGACTTCTTCAACCTTTTATCCATTAACCTCTATAGTGCACAACATTTACCTCATCCTGTATATCTAATCATCAGAGCAAATGAATGTTTTGACAGATTTATTTAATAAATCCTAATAATTATATGTTTAATCATTTAGAGAGAATGAATATAAGAGTTCTCATGTTTCAAAAACGAGAGCCGAAATCATCCAAATAATTATTAAAATTGAGTTGAATTGCGGTGTTTAGTCCCGTTTCATCTTCAAGCGAAATTTTAGGAATCTCTAAAAGCTCTACTTCTGTATGGAGCACTGTCTTCTTAAAAATAAAAACAAAAATACTAAGGAACCCCAGATTATGCACCCAATGTGTTCTTTTCTATTTTCTGCATACCTACGCACTTATTTATTTATATATATATATATATATATATATATATATATATATATTTCTAAGCATTTCACTCCAATCAAGGCAGGAGTGCTACTAGTATGCAAGGGTCTACACAGAGTGTAATTAAGGGAAAAGACTGCGTATGGAGGGGGGGCGGGTGTTGAAGAAAAGGATAAAAAGAAGAATTGGGATCAGAAGATGTCAATTGACATTACATTTACATTTTTGAAGATTATAGTTACCAGGGAAGCAAGTAAGAGGAAGATTTGGAACTGGTATAAATTTATCATTCCCCTACAGCTATGGGCTAAATCAGGAATCGGCAACATTTTGGTATGTGCCGTTTTAAAATCATTCAGTGTGTCAACAGCATACATATATTTTTATACAATTCAAGGTCAATATACCTGTTCTATAATTTATTGTATATAGTATATATACTTTAGTATATATTACAATTGAAACAGCTAAATATCTTCATGTTATAGTAGTTATTGGTTCATACTTCGTGATGTCATTTGCAGCTGCGTGCTATTGAAAATTGCTTGGTGTTCCATGTGTGACACGCATGACGTAGGTTGCCAACCCTTGGGCTAAATTATAGGACTTGTCTCTAGAAAAATCATTATTATTCTCAGAAACTTGTTGATGCAATATTCACTAACCAAAAAAAAAAGAATTATTCTTACAATCCAAAATATGATTCAGTTTTAAATAACACACAAAGGGTTGATAAACTGTAAATAACACACAAAGAGTTGATAAACTGTAAAAAGACAAATGAATGAATCAACATACATTGGCTTATAACATTTGTTTAATTAATTTTACTTGTGACGTCATTGAATTTATAAAAATCTAGTTTAATAATAAATTTCAAATCTGCTTGAAATGTAAAAACAAGTTGATTGTAATATTAAACCGATTTTTAAAGTTTTGATCGAAAAGAAAAACATTTTTTTCTTAAAGTTCTATTCTATTTCAGCAAGCTGTTTGTGGACCAAGTCGCATTTCATTCCTGACGAGTCGTCGCCCCGACACAACCCATCTTTATGACTTTTACTCTTATTGGCGTTTAGCTGCCGGGAATTTTACCACTCTACCACAGCACTTCAAAGAAAATGGCTACTTCACTGCTTCTGTGGGGAAAGTATTTCATCCAGGTAAGGAAATAAGACAAATATTGATTCGAATCTTTGCAATACAAGAGTGTGTAATAAATATAAATTTATATACAGTGCTATGAAAAGTAATTGAAATTCTAAAAGGTAATATTTAAAAAATTGTCTCTTTTTTTTTTTTTCCAGCAAAACTTAATTACGTAATATATTCATTAAGAAAAACCTTTTTTATTCATTAAGGAAAACCTTTATTAAACAAATTATAACCAGTTTAAATTTTTTTCTTTAAGCTTGAATAAAAATATTAATTAAAAATTAAAATGTGCAAAAGTAAATGAACCCTTACATTTACATTCTGTATTTTTGTTTTACATGGTTGCCAGTGCAAATAATTTTTTGTGCAAGTGTAAAAATCAAAGTGACCCATGCTCATGTTTTTGATAAGCTGTGTATACTGCACTTAAACAATATAAGTCATTGTGTAAGCAAAAAGGTGCAGTTAGAGATTAAATAAAAAAAATAGGCCAAGATCAAAAGATCTTTCCAAGCCTTTAAAAAATTGCATAGTTGAAGCCTATAATGATGGAAAAGGCTAGAAAAAGCTATGAAAACAATTTGGAGTGCACAACACAACATACAACAAATTATTTATAAATGGAAGACTTTTGGTATGATAGCATCGAAATCAAGAAGTGGTCATACGCAAAAAATAACTGCAAGAGCAAGTAGACATCTAGTTCAACAAGCCCAAGCAAATACTTCTGTGACTTCTGTAGTTCTCCAAGGCTCCTTGGCCAATGTTGGAATCAATGTGCATACGTCTACAGTGCAATGAAATATGAACGTTACCAGTCTTCATGGCAGAATACCTTGAAAAAAGTCACAGCTTACAAAAAACATAAATAAGTTTGACTCAACTATGCCATAACTCATATTAATAAGCTAGAAACATTCTGCCAAAAGGTTTTATGGTAAGATGAAACCAAACTAGAGCTTTGTGAGAGGGAAGTTAGTCAGTATGTCAGGGTTGCAGTCTGGAGAGTTAGGTGGCCAGATGTAAGGGGTGATGTGGTTTGATAAATTATCTGATAGCTATGACTGAGTTCTCTTGCTTGTATGGCATGGTGCAGAGTCCTGTTGCCAGATATAGTCTTCCAGCAACCACCCTCTTGACCTAAGGGCAGCACTACCTCCTTGAGGCACATGTTGATTCTGAGTCCCTCACCAACAAATTCAGGAGTTATTTTTTTATCAACAATAAGGGTGAATTTTCTGAGCTGCCATACCTTCATGATCACCATTAGAGTCATCCAACTCTTTCCAAATCCTCTGCACTGTCCTCAGATTGACACCCAAACACTCTGAAATGTTTGTATTGGAGCTTCTGGCATGAATTCCAAGCAGTACAGCATGCAGTTTCCAAATTTCTGGCAGAGAGAATTGTCATGGTGCTCTTTTTTTCATAGATGGTGCCCAGCTGACTCTACTACGCTATGCAGTCAACAAAATCAAAAACAATATGCATGCACAAAATTAAAAATATAAAATGGAGAAAATTTATCTATTGCACTGTGTGTGTGTGTGTGTGTGTGTGTGTATGTATATATAATACAGAAACATATTGAGACTAACACAATAATACTTAGCAAGATCAACATGAGAATGTCAAACTAAGGATTTTTGCACCCATATAGTAATGGAAGATAGAGAATTTTGAAAAATTAAACTTGAAAGACATACTAATTAATAATTCCAGTGCATTTCTTTTGGGTGTAAACCCTGAAATACCTTTTTTCATTTGAGGACACAAGATTTATTTTAAAGCCCAATTTCAGCATACTAAATTTTATACACAATTAATTAAGCTGTTCCTCTTTTCTGTTTTTCTCACTTGGGTACATTTTTAAAGGTTGCTCCAGGATTTTTCAATTGGATTCGAATCTGGAAAGAATACAGAACCATCCATAATTGTTTTAACCTTTCATGACCTTGCTGACCTTACAAATGCACCTCTTTTATGCAATACATGTCTTATTCCATAATGTTGGTCTGCAAATAGGACAAGACTTTTTAATGCCAACAGGTTTTCTTGCTTTACCTTTGACTGAAAAAGCTTTCCAACCCACAACAAATCCTGTCAAATTTTCACTTCATTTCAAAAAAAAAAGAAAATTATTTCTCCTTCCAAAAATTGTGCCAGTCACATTGCATTTCATGTTCTCTGCTTTGATGTTGCCCAAAAGTAAGATCATATTAAATGAACTTAGGAGAAAAATAACTTGAATCAAGAAACAATGGATGAAGACTGTGTCCTTTGCAAAGAAGAGAAATTTAATTCTGTTGTTCTCTTCATAATAAATGAAGCATTTTTGTCTTTTTTTTTTCTATGTTGAGGCTTATTTCTCTTGCTGTCTCAAAAACCTGAAAAAATGCGCAGTGCGTGTCGTGCTCAGATGCATGATGTATGTAGTGTTCAAATGACAACTGGCAACTTCTAGAATTATACCAAAGTTACATTTCTAGAAAGTTCTAGAAAAGAACAAAAAAAATTTTTCTGCAATATGTTTATACTTATTTTCACCATTGAAATGTGTTTTTTGTTGTTGTTTTTTTTGTTTTGTATATGAGAACAAGTAAAAAAAATCATTTTAAAATAAAACTGTCCTTCCAGTTTTTCATATACAATTGGGTAATGAAAAGTCATTTTTTCATCCAGCATATGTTTGAACAATGAATGCAGTTTTGATTAAAAGAGAAAGTAATTTATTAAAACAAAAATGTATTGAAATGATACTAATTTCTGAATCCTCTATAGTAAATTTACATTAACATCATATAATATATGTCCTTTTACAACAAAAGTTCAGCTGATACCATGTGCATAATTAAAAACAATAGCATTGTAAAACTGAATGAGTTTGGTTAATTTAGACATCTGGATATATTGGATGTCAAAATTTAAATTGTAATGGTGAATATTTCTGTATCTTTGATGATTTGTTGTAAATTGTAATCAGCGTTTTTTTTGTCTTTTCTTCTCGTTCTCACTTTGAGATTGATTCCATTAAAACCATTATTAGACCAACAAAGTTCTTTCTTGGAACAAAATGCATCATTCAATTTTTTTTTTTTTTTTTTTTTCCCAATTTTATTATTCACTTAGCTACTATTTGTGTGTTTGGGCAACAATCCCTCTTTTCTGCATGTTTCATTAAAGACAACCGATATGGAATTGCGATTAAACTTTTTATTCAATTTTTCTTGCATTTATACAAGTAATTTCTTTTCTGTCCAAATGTTCAATATATCCAAGCACTTTTGGCTATTTTATTAAGATGTTTTTTTTGTTTTACTAAATATGTAGATTTCTATATACCTATCTTTAAAAGTGATAGGAATTTTTTTTTTTCCAAACATTGTCAGCACATTGTGGCTGTGTTCATAGATGATATTATAGTGTTGGCTTTTTCTTTCTTATTATTAATAGTTCCATTATTTTTAGCCTTTTTTTTTTTTTTTTTTTAAACATGTGGATAAGGCTATTATATTTATATTGTCAATGAGTATATTGTGGATAGTTTTGTAGATTTCCGTGTGTTTAAGAGAGTCCTAATTGGTCTATGGTCAGAGATATGTAATGTGAGTTTTCTTGATATGCATGTAGTTGTATATCCAAAATAATTATTCATGAATTTGGTTTGATCAGGAACACAGTTTCTTAAGGGAAATGTAAATTCATAATATATTTTTACTTTAAATGCTATTTTTAGTGGATACTCATATTTAAGTAAACATTTTGTTTATTTATTTATTAAACAGTATATTTATTTATTTTCATCTACCTATCGGAATATTCAAGAAATCTTATTAAAGAAAAAGATTCCAACCTTTGTTGGAAAAACCGTCATTAGATCCAACATGCTTTAGACTGACACAGCCAAAAAGGAACTTGCTGATCGAGCAAGATTGAATAGATTCCTATAAGTGCAAATGTTTCCCTGATTCTCCAAACATCCATATCTGCTCAGTTTCATATTTGAATGTTATCAAAGCAATTTATAAAGAAGTAGTGGATTTTTTAATTTATTAATCCAACAGATATATATATATATATATATATATATATAATAATAATAAATATTAAATATATATATAATAATAATAAATATTAAATATATATATATATATATATATATATATATATATATATATATACCGCCAGTTACCTTGATCTACTCACTATCCCTCTCCTCATCCTTTTCTTCTATCACTCCCATCTGCTCTTGCTCCAAATCTTCTGCAACCCCTGCATCCTAGTGGCTTCATGCCTTGCTTGGGCATAATGTTTAAAAAAATATATATATAATATATATATATATATATATATATATATATAATATATATATATATATATATATATATATATATATATATATATATATATATATATATATATATATATATATATATATATATATATATATATATATATATATATATATATATATATATATATATATATATATATATATATATATATATATATATATATATATATATATATATATATATATATATTAAATATATATATATATATATATTTTGTGTTATATAGAATATATATATATATATATATTAAATATATTAGATTAAACAAATTTCTGAATGTTGTTTTGTGTTATTGGTAATTTGCTGTTTAAATTTCTCCATATGTTGTTTTTTATAGATGAACATATGTCAAATGAACAAAATGATATTATATTAGACAAATTTTTGTAGATGACACCAAATTCTCTCTCTCATATATATATATATATATATATATATATATATATATATATATATATATTTTCACCTATACATTTTAATTTTAAAATTCACGGTATTTTTCAGACTGTTTATGGTATTAGTTTGTATTGAGAGACTGGTTCGTTGGGGAAAGAAAGACAGAGAGGTCGTTATAAAGAACTGAGTGGGAGATATGCCAGAAGAAGTCACTGTTACAGGAATTATATTTTGGGGGGTAGGAGAGCCGTTGAAAT